AGTTTTTTTAACTTGCTGGCAAGAATACTGTAGGAGACCCAGCCAACTCCCTCAGCACTCCCACCCTCAACTCCCTCAGCACCTTTCACCACTGAGGGCTGCTCACCTCCTCCCCATACTGTGCTCCCTAGTGCAGCAGTCTGGGAGCTGACTTTGTTTGTGAAGTCCGAGGCAAAAAAAAAAAAGCAGCATTGAGTACTTCAGCTTTTTCCACATCATCTGCACTAGGTTACCTCCCCCATTCAGTAACTGTCCCACACTTTCCCTGACCTTCTTCTTGTTGCTAACATACTGTAGAAACCTGTAGCTTCTCCTCCTGTTTGCGTCTATTTTAATCTCTGCCCCCCATCCCCACCGCAGTGGCAAAATATGCTAGCTACTCCTTCAGTGACTAGGATCAAATGCTCTGCTTTTTGTCTGCATATAAAAATGTGCGAAGAAACTCAGATTTGGAAAGACTATTCCCTGGCAAAATGTACATCACACACATCCTCAGAATAATACATACGGACTGTAGTGTCCTACTACACTCGGCCTTTTGGCTAAGATCAAGTGTAGTAGTAGGACACTACAGTCCGTATGTATTATGTGAGCTGCCAACCCCAACATAACAACATCCCCCCATACTCTGTATGTTCCCCCCAATGACTGACACCTGACTCCTTGAATCCCCAGAATGTTTCTTACCACATATCTGCCATACTGTCGGGCCACTCTGAAATGTCAAACCCAACTAATATTTTTTATAAATGGCTCTGTTATGCCCACCTATCCATTTAAATGGCATCATTTCTTTGCTGTGATAGGGATCCTTCAGCAGGACATTAGAAGAATTAATGTTCTTTAATTTAAATATGAGAAGTTCCTGCTTCTCTAGCCATTACCATGCCTAACACTAATTAGCACTTGTGGAAGGTATATGAGCGGCATGTATTAGGGTTGAAGTCATACACAACAAGGCATTATTCAGAATCTGTACATTCTGTCAAGATGAAAAATGCTATATAAATGTGTGTTATTTATTGAAGTATTTTTATGTGATATCTGCATCATAATCCTCTGTTATAATTTATCTAAAAATGTAAAAGCTAAGGCACCAGAACTGATCACCAAGAGAGTAAGAAAAGAACATAGGCAACCAAAAAACACACCAAAAATAGCATTTGATATTTTTATACAGATTATACAGTAGAACCTCAGATTTACGAACACCAGAGTAACGAACTGACGAGTCAACCACACACCTCATTTGGAACTGGAAGTGCACAATTAGGTAGCAGCAGAGATAAATAAATAAATAAATAAATAAATAAAAAGCAAATATAGTACAATTCTGTGTTAAATGTAAACTATTAAAAAATAAAGGGAAAGTGGCATTTTTCTTCTGGATAGTAAAGTTTCAAAGCTGTATTAAGTCAATGTTCAGTTGTAAACTTTTGAAGGAACACCCATAATGTTTTGTTCAGAGCTACAAACATTTCAGAGTTATGAACAACCTCCATTCCCAAGGTGTCCATAACTCTGAGGTACTACTGTAAATGAGATGAATTTTAATTGGGAAATAAACATCCATCCTCATTGTACTATTGGCTATTTTTCAAAACTCATGTAATGTAACATGTTAGACTGCAGTTTGCAGTGTTGTTGTAGCCTTGTTGGTCCATGGATATTAGAGAAACAAGGTGAGTGAGATGATGTCTTTTATTGGAACAACTTCTATTGGTGTAAGAGATCAGCTTTTGAGCTGCACAGAACTCTTCTTCAAGTCTGAGATATTACTTTACCCACCTTGTCCCTCTAATGTTTGATTGTAATCACAGTCACAGTGAGTGAGAAAGAGAATCTCCTATAGAAACGTTCCAGTGGCTAATAAGATTCAATATTATTTTATTCTGTTCTATCAGACAAAAGACCATAATTGGTAATCTTGTATTCCATCCATAGTTGTAGAAGGAAATATTCAAAGTGATTTGCTAACTAAAATAGTTTAGTTATAAAATATATAGCCTCAGTGACATCTGTAACTGAAGTAATAAATAGGGACCTAAAAGTCATGACTGTGTGAAATCACAACACAATTGCCCCATATTCCCACACCCAAGTCATTCATGTAGCCCCCCCCCAAATCAGGACACACAATCCAGAACACTAACACACTAACACTATAAGGCGCCTGAGGCCATACATGTGTGATGCCCAATGCTGCTACTGGGATGCAGGGGGATCTGTTGGAGTCCTGTGCCTATGAAGTTCTGGCCTCTTGAGGTAATAAGTGGGAAGGGAGGTTTGGCTAGCTTATTGCTCCTTGCATGTTGGTGTTGTAAGCAGCCTCTGTCATTGCTTCTACTGACTCTCTCCTTCCTGGAAGATGATAGGTCCTTTTTAAAAGGCCACTCCTCCTAAGTAAAATTCTCTGGAGGACTATATCCAATAGATACTTCTAGGAAGGAAAAGGGGATGACTGCTGAGGCTATGTGCCCCCAAAGTCCTGTCTGTGCTATGGAAAAGGGCAGCCAGGATGCTAGTGAGCGGCAGCATAATATCATCCTTTCTTCCTTCTCTTTTCTCATGTTATAACTCTGGGAAGCAAATGCTTTAATGACTTTGTGAATGAGGGCTTGTTATCCTCATCAGAGGGAGAAAGCATTTGGTACCTGAAATAGGACACGCTGCAGGACATCAAATACTTGTTTAATCATTCAAAAGGTGATTTAAGGTTAACTTTCCAGAGTACTGATTTTGTTGAAACACATTAAATTAAATTACTGACCATACAACATAGTGACTATGGTAGACCATGAATCAGTAACAACTTTGTGGCTTTGTAAAGTAATTACTAGGAAGCACATAAAAGTCCCTAACACAAGGATGCAGTTCGTCCATCAGTTTTTATAACAGTGGGAAATGTGCATTTACAAAGTAGTTTGAAGTCAACAGAGAAAGTCTTAGGAGCATTCACAACCTCCACAACAATTTGAGAGGAATAATCATTTTTGTTCTTGGGTCTTAGCTCCTTAGTGTGACACCTGCTGACATTTCCTTAGATCTCAAAGATTTTTGGCCCCTTGAGTCAGAGGCTGGTATTTCCCCTAATATAAACCCTCAAAATCAAGGAAGTAAACTATTGAGCCTCTACATCATACATTTACTCAACCAATCACACAACTATCTTCCTACACATCACTGGCACTCCATCCAGGATACACAGAGGCACAGTCTGGTGTCAGGGATGTGCCTTTTGTTGTCTGTGAGAAAATATGCCCAAAGTTGGACGAGTTACCTCTTTAAAAATCTCAGTTTGCACACGCGACTCTTATTAGAATTTGGCATCTAAATCCTTTGAAGGTAGTACCTCTACTAAACATTTTCAGCCCCCTCACAGCTCATGGTGCCAACTAGGCTGTGCATGTGTTGTTCCCACACAGTGAGTAAGCGTGCCCTATCCAGGGCTGAAGGGCATGAGCAGGACTTTGCCTGAATTTTCTGTTCTTGGCTGCTGCAAGCCGCTGTGACATCGGACCCAGGAACTGAGAGCAGGGGGGTGACCCTCTCTCTCTTTTGTGCTCTCAGGGCTCCTCCTGGTGGTGCCCATGCAGGCGAGAGGGGGGAAGCAAGCTGCATTGCAGGATAGGCAAACTGAGGGCTGTTGGGTTTGGATGTTGGGTGTCGGGAAAACAACTGAGAGCTGTTGTGTGTCTGTGTGTCAAGGGGAAACTGGAAGTGCACAAGCAAACTGGAGAGGGGCCTGGCAGTGCCTGGGAGGGCAGGGGATGGACTGTGACTAACTGAGCAAAGAGACTGGGACTGGAATGAGGAACACAGGTTGGATGGGCACTTGGACAAAGAGCCTGGGGGGGAGGGAGGGTGAAGACTGGGACTGGCTGGGTTAGGAGACTGAGATGAGCATAAGCTACTTGGGTTGGGGGAAGACTGGCTTGAGGATCTGAGGAAAAGACAGGATTTTGATTGGGACAGGAACAGACTGAAGGGACAGGAGCAGAAGGGTCTGTGACGATTACAGAACAGTCCCTTCCAAGATTTCTAAGTCTCAGCATTCTTCTGTTGTCAGCAAATATCTGTGAAACCAACTCAGGTGTTTGTCTCATTCCCCTTTAGTGGCTAGTCCACATAGTAGTAGTAGGTTGTCATCCTCTGTCAGTTATTCTGTTATCTTAAGTAGCAGAAGTCTGTGCTGTGGATTTAAATATTCCAGCCCTGCTGATGACTCATGAGGGGGACAATATTATGCCATATGCTGGAATTATTAATTATTATTAATTATTATTTACTACTATTTTTCTGTCCTTCAGCTTTTCAAAACACTTTGGAATTAGGGGTCCTTTGAGGGAAAAAAATTGATTATGTAATTAAAGGCTGACTGTGTATATGCAAGTGGGCTGCACGGGCAGCCTAAATTCTGTCATTTATTAACTTCTGAGTACTTGATTTTGCAACTTTAATATTCTTTTAATCTAGTGTTTGGTGTGTAATTTAATTTATATTGGAAAGTTGTGGTGGGCAGGAGGGGCAGGGCACTTTTTTTAAGCAAGTCTTTTAGGCCATGTTGCTCAGCTCTGGTTTATTACTGTTTGTCCAAGTTATAAAGTTTTTTCTAGATCTCTTTGCCCATTCCCTATTCATACACTAATGTCTAACCCACCTCAAATGCAAGCGGTACTATATCTATACTTATTATAGGAACACGCTTGCCACTGTGAACGTTCAAAGTACATTTTCTCCCCTACGCTATACAAGGTTAAAAGAAAATATGCAGGACCTGACATATGACAAGGTTTATTGTTAAAGGCATTAAGCAGTGTCTTGACAATAACTATAATTTATGTTGCCACTGCTTTGACCTGATTAAACACTGAACAATACTACTGCCACTCTTTGACTACCTTAGGCCGGTGAGCATCTGATGATACATAATATCTTTTGGCAGCCAAGTTAATTATAACATAGCTGAGTGCATTCCTTTAGAGGGAAAATATTTAAAAAAAATAATGGGAGAAGGAATTGTAATGAAAGCTGTCAGAATAATTCTAAATATCACTAACAAGCATATCTAATATTTCAGAAATGTTAACTTTTCTTGATTTTTTTCCCCCCATTACAGTGTGTTCTTAACACTTTTTTTTGCAGATTATATGAGACATTTGCAGCCAGTAGATGAACATTTACACATACTGTTACTCCTTCTGAGCTGTATAATGACAAAGCCCATACCATTTCTCAAAAGGTTCACAGGAGTTGAAGGCTGAGATTTTTAGATGCTTTGGGGATATGGATGCCAAATTCTCATTAATCTGAATGGGAACTGGACAGTCAAATCTCTTAGGCAGCATCGAGAATCTTAGCTAAAGTGATGGTTTCAACTCTATGTAACAAAATGCTGACACTGACATTGTAATGTATTTCTTACCCTGGAACATTAGCAGATGGATGGGTGAGGTGTGTACAAAGCAATTATACCTAGTTAGCAGTAATGAATTCCACTGTTACACTCCATTTTTTTCTGTCACATTTTGGCTGAGGAGGTTGAGATTTAGGAAACATACATAACACATAAGTACCATACATCATAGAGGTGTGTTTCTACATGCCGATGAGCACCGAATGAAGAAGGATTGCCTCCTTATCATTGAATGTATCACAGATAAGTAGATACAGCACTTGAAGAAATGTAAACTATTGCCTGTGCGGCTTTCATAAACAAAAGCTCTGCCTACAGCTTCAAGGATATAAAGTGAAAAGTCCCCTGAGGCAGTCTCTCTGTCTATGTAATAATTAAGAAAAGAAGCTGTAGAAAGTTATACACAACCTTTATTAACCTATTTTTGTTTGGATTTTGGTGACCATTTGGCCTTCCTTCTGCCATCAGTCTGTATTTCACAGCAGAAGAATGAAAGGTAAGACAATCTGACAAATAAACTTATCTAATTATTTCTCAAAATATTTCTCAAATATGTTTTTTGCTATGGTTCTTCAATACGGTTCTGAAATAAGACTCTCAGACTCAAATTCCATTCCAAAAGTTTATCCTCAAATGGAATTTGCCTGATTCTCCACTGCCTTGCACCTTCTGTAGTCACTCAGACCTGTGCAATGTGGGTGTGGTGTGCCTTTCTGATTGGCTAACATTTTATACCAGCTTTGCACAGTTGTAAATAACTGCCCTAGCTGCAAGGTAGTGGAGAATCAGGATCATTATTTTCAAATTTCCCTCTTAGGATATTTGTTGCTCAAGACACGGTTGAAAATGAGAGCATTCCTTATTGCATTGCCATTCACACAATGAAGAGTCACTACACATTTTTCTGATCCTAACATTTTGCTACCCTAGGCAACTGCCTGATAAGCCTGGATGCAAGAGCCAACAACAGTGACTTTTGTCTTTTCTTCCTTTGACAGAGGAATTGTAAGAAAATAGCACTACCCCATGCAAGTCATGTTCCAGATGATTTATAATTGTATATATAATAGACCCATTCTAGACCCAAATGTCCCAATGTCAGGGCTTCCCCAGTTTTTCTTGGGAGAGTGTACCATAACAGACTTCACTGTCAGGAAGTTTTTCCAGATATTCAGCCTATATCTCTTCATTTAAAATTTCATCAAATTACTCCTAGTACCATCTTCAATAATCACTCATTTGTTTAAATTATCAAATAGTTGTAGACATATGTCCCTCATTTAATCTGTGTTCAGCCACAATAAATATTTCAAATAAAAACGACATTCAAGTTAAATTAAAGTAGAGTTCACTTCAGTAACTTAAGGGTAAAATTATTATAGGGATGCTACAATTATCCCAAAATTAGATTCACAGGCCTGATAGTTGAGAATTAAAATTAAATTTAGAAGAAATCCAAATATGTACTCTAACTATAAGGATAGTTAAGCTCTGGAACAGGTTACCAAAGGAGGTTGTAGAATCCCTGTCATTGGAGTTTTAAAGAATGGGTCAGACCAACATTTTTAGGGATAATTCAAATATTTCTGTCTTGCCTCAGTGCAGGATGATGGAGTAGATGACCTCTCAAGGTCCCTTCCAGCCCTAGTTTTTTTTTTTTTTTATGATTCCATGTTAGAATATGCAAAAACATAATTAAGGCAGCCAAACAACCTTAACTCTGTCATGAATTGATGCCAACTAATAAATATGGAATTCTATTAGTGCATAACAGTATTTATAGTCCCAGCTTGGTTTCTTTTCCATTGGGAACAATAAGTGGTAGTGACAAGTTTGACTTAGATCACCTTAACAACTGAGGACACCTGTGGCCTCAGTCTTATTAAAAACAATTGGAGACAGCAACCATTTTTAAAATGGCATTTTTTAATGGAATGCTTAATAGAATAACATTATGGCCCAGATCCACAAGGGGATTTTGCTGAGTGCAATGTTAACTTTAGGTGCCTAGCCATCCATTGAAATTCACAAATCCTGAGTTAGGTACCTAGGCTTTCTATACAATGCATGGGGAGATATTGGTGCCTGAGAATGGGATCCACAAAGACCAGCCACTAAGCGAGGAGCTGTCTAGGACAGCCAATTGCAGGTGCCAGTGAGAAAGGGGTGTCCCTAAGTCCCACTTCTCTCCTGGAGTCAGCCACCTAAGTTATTTCTTGCAAGAATGGCATCAGAGACTGCCTAATCACACAAAATAGCTAAGGAGGTGACCCCCCTCATAACCTTTAGCCTAGTTGTTAGAGCAGTCACCCAGAATGAGAAGGCATTTGAACAGGGGTTTCCCTTCTTTCATGTGAATGCCCTAACCACTAGAGCATGAGATATTCTAATGTGGAGTTCCCTCAATCTCTCCTATTGAAACCACCCCATATAGTATAAATAAATATGCAGTGGACCAGTTAGATAGAGTGAGAATGATTCTATAGTTTAGTGGTTAGGACACTCTCCTGAGTGAAGACAATTCAGTTTCAATAAAATTCTTCCAGAGTTCTGACTGGTTCCAGCTCACTTGTCCATCTCCTTGGCAGCCCATCTGGCAGACTGCTGAGGTGCCCAGGCTCTTAGCTGCTCATCAGCCTGTCTGGTGGGCTGACGAGGAGCCGAGAACCTGGGAGCCCTGACTCCCAGATTCATGACTTCTCACAAGTTTGGACTCCTAGGGCTTCCAGGTTCCTTGGCAGTCCACTCTAGGTCTGTAGTGAAATCTGGCCCCCCTGAAGTCAATGGTAGTTTTGCCATTAACTCCAGTAGAACAGATTTCACCACTGAATCATAGAATCATAGACTTTAAGGTCAGAAGGGACCATTATGATTGTCCAGTCTGACCTCCTGCACAACGCAGGCCACAGAATCTCACCCACCCACTCCTGTATCAAACTCCTAATTATGTCTGAGCTATTGAAGTCCCCAAATCACGGTTTAAAGACTTCAAGGTGCAGAGAATCCTCCAGCAAGTGACCCGTGCCCCACGCTGCAGAGGAAGGCAAAAAAACCCCAGGGTCTCTGCCAATATACCCTGGAGGAAAATTCCTTCCCGACCCCAAATATGGTGATCAGCTAAACCCTGAGGATGTGGGCAAGACTCACCAGCCAGACACCCAGGAAAGAATTCTCTGTAGTAACTCAGATCCCACCCCATCTAACATCCCATCACAGGCCATTGGGCATATTTACCACTAATAGTCAAAGATCAATTAATTGCCAAAATTAGGCAATCCCATCATACCTTCCCCTCCATTAACTTATCAAGCTTAGCACTGTTATGACTTATCACATGAGAGGAGAGGGGAAGTCATAACAATGCTAAGCTTACTGGCCTTAGCTTTAGTGGTGAAATCTGTTCCACTGGATTTAATGGGAAAACTACCATTGACTTCAGGGGGACCAGATTTCACTACAGATTTTTAATATGGTCACTATCTCTTGAATATAATGGGGACTGCATTGGGGAAGAATCCTGACCTGGTTTACAAAGATGCAAACCCCACTTGCAAAAGGAATGATACAGGAGAAATTACATGATGGGAAGGTTGAGGTAGATGTGGTTGAAAACTGGCAAAACTAGAAATTCTGGATTTTTTCCCATTATTGTGATGTTTTCCATGCCATTTTTAGTCATTGTTTTTCTTAAAATTTTAATCAAAACAATTTTATAATAAAGTAATTACTCTTTTATCAAAATTCTCTTACTGAAAACTGTCCTTCTGGCAAACAAAAAATTCTGAAATGTTTGTGATAAAAACATTTTTACAATTTCAATTACAAATATTGCAGAACACTGTGCAAAAAAAAAAAA